TCTTGCCATAACTCTCTGTTTGGAGTCTCTGAAAAACCTCTGTTTGGAGGGTCTTGTAGCCCCAACACTTCACCCTCCCCCTCTATCTCAACAAAAATTGGGACACCCTACCCCTAGACGTGAACGTGTAAAACAGAGGGCTAAGGGCTCAGTGGTACTGGCAAGGGGTAAAAAGGGGTACATTTGTTAATGCTCATACCTCAAAGTGTTCAAAACTGGGCGACATCAATCTTTTCATCTGAATCCTGTAATGGTTCCCTTTTAAAGTTCTTTACTGGAATAATTCATGTTCCTTTACTGACTGTTAAGTGATTCATGCAGTGGAAGAGCATCCCAGAAACAACAAGCACATCCAGCTGTAATGAGAATGTCCAGCAGTTACTCTGTGAAATACAGAGTAGCAACAAAGCCAGGCAGCCAGTGAGGTCAGCAATGGAGAGGTTTCTGTTTCTGATAAGCTTTTTCAGCACAAGGTAGCATCTCTGTTACAGACAGACTTGCAGTGGAACACTTAGAAGGTTTAAAGATCAGTACATGGTGGTTCTACAGATGATCTATTGTGAATTATATGCCGTTTCTTTCCAGCTGAAAAATATGATGAAAAGGAACGGCTCAGTGGTGCAGTTAGATACTGGAATTCTTTATGCAATTAATGATCTTATGGCATTTAAAGTGGAATGTATTCATGTCAGTTCAGCTGATGGTGACTGTGGACAAGCAAGCAATTGAAGAAATCACTTCATTGTTCAGAAATTCAGAGCTACAAATCTCATCAACTTTATGAAGTTGAGGAGTCTGGTAATGTAACTGCTGTCTACCCAGAAACACTGAGGAATAAATGTACTGAGGTCTCTGTTAGAGAGAACACATTTATTACTGCTCCGTAAGGCACAAACTTACTGCACTGTAAGGCAGCGTCTTTACACAAATGTGTGACAGCATGTAGGAATGCCGAGGCCTGAGTATGAAAATCATCACCCTTAATGTACTGACCAAATTAATGGAACTGTACAAAGTACTGAAATATGTGTTGGGAGCAGGGAAACTCCCTAAAATGTACAGTGCAGATCCTCCAGCACCAGAGTGGGGAACCACTGCCTTATTCAATAAGCTTTCTTCAAATATCTACAGTACTGAGTGTCAGTGTAAATTACACTGTTTATGGGTCTTATTAACACCAGTTCTTAATTAATACACAGTCTGCTGCAATCTGTAAAACATAGCCACTATCAGTTCTGCTTAAAGCATCATTCAGGCATCAGTATTGAAGTCGAGGTTTAGGTATCTGTATGTGTATCAGACGTAAACACTTTGTACAGTACTCAGCCCTAGATATTCTTGAGTATTTCTTATTAATGTTCTATATTTCTCTGAATTTATTGCTCTACCTGTAGAAGCTCTATTTGTAATGTTTTTACTCCATTACTGAAATTGACACTAACAATGTTTTGGGCATTTTTGAATGATTATTGCGTTTAAAAACAAATGCAGATTTTAGTTTTTATGATAATATATTTGATTGTACTCTGTCTTGTATGAAAAATATGTTCACACATTCACATTTCCTTTGATTCTTGTCTGTAACATTTTAAGAATTATTAAATACAGTATGATATATACATGAAACACAAATATGTGTTTTAGTCAAACTGCGCGTTTGTGTTTTGTGCGCTGTTTGCTTGTCTTCGTTGCTTTGTTTCTGCCCTACGATCCTTTGGTGGATTCCATTCTACTCAAGAGACCGATCAGGAGGATCCTGCAGAGACGATGGCAGGAAGGCTACTTTACATCCTTCAGAAGCCCTCAGACACATTTTTAGAATTACGCTAGCTGCTATTCCCTTTGGACCTTTTGTACATTTGTCATATATTCTGCTGTTGTTGTCTTGTTTGTAAAAGCAAGACCACTCATGAAAAGATGGCTGATGCCACAACAGTGTTGAAGAAGGTCCTCAGGAGGGCCCCCTGCACTCCAAACGACCTCTGTCTCCTAAGCAGTGTGGAAGTGTATCCCAAAGAGGCTAAAACATGCATGTCCAGCTGCAATGAGAATGTCCAGCAGTTATTCTGTGAAATACAGAGTAGGCTAAAGCCAGGCAGCCAGTGAGGTCAGAGCATTTAAATGGAGATTGAGTTTTTAATGGATTGAGTTTTTAAGCCTTCAGCATAAAGTGGTATCTCTGTTATAGGCAGACTTGCAGTGGAACACTTAGTAGGTTTAAAGGTCAGTACATGTTGGCACTACAGTCAGCTTATTGTGAATGATGAATTACTGGAGGTGAAGTTAGATAATAAAATACTTTGTGTAATTACGGATCTTATTGTATTCAGAGTGGAATGTATTCATGTCAGTTCAGCTGACTGTGACTGTAGATAAGCATGTTGTGCGTGTGCAGAAATTCTGAGCTACAAGTCTCATTGACTTTTGTTTATGAAGTTGAGGACTCTGATGATGTAATTGCTGTCTACCCAAAAATATTGAGGACTAAATGTACTGAGGTCTCTGTTAGAACACACTCATTATTTCTTTGCCAAATCAGCTCACAGAAGGTAAGACACTGTCTTTGCACTAATGTAGTTTGTGACAGCATGTAGGAATGCGGAGACCTGGGTATCCAAATTAATACTTTTATCATATTGACCAAATAACTGGAGCTGTACAGAGCACTGACCTATTCCATACCATTCATTTCTGAATCTCAATATCTGAGTAAGTCTTAATCCCTTAGTCCACAGCTTCCCAGCCCTGGTCCTAATGGACCCCCTGCTCTGCACTTTTAGTCTTTTCCTCCTCCAAACATGAACTTCAGGTCATGAAGGGCTGTTAATGAGCTGATGAGTTGGATCAGGTGTGTTGGGAGCAGGAAAACAGTAAAATATGAAGTGCAGGGGGTCCAGGACCAGGTGGGGAACCACTGCCTTACTCAATAAGCCTTCTTCTTCAGAAATCTACAGTACTGACTGTGTAAATTACACTGTATATGCATCTTATAAACATCAGCTCTTAATTAATATACACTCTGATGGAGTCTGTAAAATATAGCCACTTCCAGTATCTCAATCTCAGTTCTGTTTAAAATGAAGTCCTGAAAAAGTGTCATTCAGGCATCAATATGGAGGCTTTGGTATCTGTGTGTATCAGATCTTTTGTACAGTACTCAGCACTAAGTAAGCTTGAGTATTTCTAATTAATATTCTGTGTCTCTCTGAACTTACTGCTCTACCTTTAAGAGCTCTCTTTGTAATGTTTTATTCCATTACTGTAATTTACACCATCCATGTTTTGGTCACTTTATATTGTTGACTTTAAAAACATGTAAACATTTTAGTTTTTTATGATAACGAACAACCCCATTTCCAAAAAAGTTGGGACGCTGTGCCGAATGTAAATAAAAACAGAATGCAATGATGTGCAAATCATGTAACCGTATATTTAATTAAGAGTAGTACAAAGACAGTAAATCAAATGTTGAAACTGAGAAATGTTACTATTTTTTGAAAAATATATGCCAATTTTGAATTTGATGCCAACAACACGCTCCAAAAAAACTGGGACGAGGGCACATTTTTTCATCAGCTATTCTTTATGCTACACACTGTGTTTGGGAACTGAGGAGACACTGCTGTAGTTTTGAAAGGGAAATGTTTTCCATTCTTGTTTGACACAGAATTTCGGCTGGTCAACAGTTCAAAGGCCTCCTTTGTCATATTTTTCATTTCATAATGCACCAAATGTTTTCAGTGGTGACAGGTCTGGACTGCAGGCAGGTCAGTTTGGCACCTGGACTCTTTTAATATGGAGCAGTGCTGCTGTAATACATGCAGAATGTGGTTTGACTTTGTCTTACTGAAATAATCAAGACCTTCCCTGAAAAATACGTCATCTGGATGGCAGCATATGTTCAATACATGTTTATATCGTTCAGCATTAATGGTGCCTTCACAGATGTGCACGTCACCCATGCCATGTGCACTAATGTCCCCTACACCATCATGAATACTGGCTTTTGAACTGTGCACTGATAACAAGCTGAGTGGTCTTTAGCCCGGAGGACACAGTGTCCATGATTTCCAAAAAGAATTTCAAATGTTGATTCGTCGGACCACAGGACACTTTTCCACTTCCTCTCAGTCCATTCTAAATGAGCTCAGGCCCAGAGAAGGTGGCAGCATTTCTGGATCCTGTTTTGGTTTCTTCTTTGTGTTTTAGAGTTTTAACTTGCATTTGTGGATGCAGTGATGAACTGTTTTCACAGACAGTGGTTTTCAGAAGTGTTTCTGAGCTCATGCAGTGATTTCCACTACAGAATCATGTGTGTTTTTAACTTTAAATTTTATATATATTAAAAAAAAATAAAATAAAATAAAATGTCTCAGTTTCAATATTAAATATATTATAAAATATAGGGTTTAAATGTTTTGCACATCATTCCATTTTGTTTTTATTCACATTTTGCACAGCATCCCAACTTTTTTGGAAACGGGGTTGTATTTGATTATACACTATGTCCTGTATGAAAAATGAGTTCACACTAATACTTTCATTTTTCTCTTGTTCTCATATTATTCTTGTGTTTACTGACTTTAAGAATTGTTAAACAATATGAAACATGATGTATACATGAAACACATGGATGTGTTATTTAAACTTTGTTAAAGATAATAATTCATATTATCATGCAATAGTTATTGGATTATTATAAATACCCTGAAATCCTTTCAGAAGTATAATTTTTCACCATACTTTGTTTTAAAGTTTACTTATTTCTTCAAGTTGAGTGAGTTGAGGTCACGTTCATCATGAAGTGTGTACACACACTGACAAAACAAAGCCATATTTCATCGTAAGCATACGCTGTTAAGCATTTTTCTGACATGAAATTAATATAAACTTTTCAATGATGTTATTTTACAACATAGTTAACAAAAAAAATTATAAAAATACATCTTCCTCATACACAATTGTTCATAGCACAATGTATTGTGAGCATAACAAATTCATATGTTTTTGATTATACTTTATTAAAGCACAGTAAAATACAGAAATAAACAATCCTTATACATGCTTTATAAAAATGTAGTTTTATTGTAACATGCCAACCAGAATCAGATGCTCGCGGATGGAAAACACAAATGAGGCTTTTCTGTGAGATTCAGAATCCAGAGTCATGGTCACAAAACAGACAGGGGTCAAATCCAATAGGCATAGCAAGTACAAACAGATGCAGATATCACAAGGTGACCAGTTCAAAAAGGAGAGGTAAAAAGGTGTAGTAGAAAAACAGGCAAAAGGTCAAAAACAGGAGTCAGGTGACAAACATTAGTACTCTGGAGATCTAGAGTGCTGTTTGGAGTGCATGTCCTGGCATTAGTCAGGTGATCTCCCGGAGGATTCTGGGAGATGGAGTCCGTGTGAGTGTCTGATTGTGAAGGAAAGTCGAAAGTCATGTGATCTCCCAGAGGAGTCTGGGACTCAGTGGATGTGTGACATTTAGCCCAAAATTAGCACAGTTCATTAGAAGTACAGTTTGTAATAGTTTATAAAAGCAATGTTTCAGCATGTTTTGCAAGCGTACTTAAAGTAGTTTTATTGCTTTTTAATCATAAAAAACACATTTGCTAAGTATATATTTTTATGAAGTATATCACCAGAACCAAATTAGCCGAATGAAAAATATTTTTTCAAAATATACTGAAATATAGATTATGTACATAAAAAGTTAAATATAAAGTGAAAAAAATATTCTTTAAAATATTGATTTTGATATACTTTATATATTCACCTCCTAGTACTGGCAGTATCATGAGAATGGGGTTAGAATGGGACATTAATAAATTGGGGAGAAAGCTGGGAAAAAATGCCAAAAAAATACATAAATAAATAAGCATAATCTTTTTTTTTAGATGGCACAAATAGAAATAATGATGTGATGTTTCCATAGAGTACGTTTTATTTTTCATTATCAGTATTTAAAACACATGCACAGAAACTAAAACCCAGGGAACATAAATCCATGACTGCATGATGTTGGTGTTGTGGGTGTACAATCCAGGAGCAGGACTTGTAATAATTAACACGTCTGTGTGATTTTCACCATCATTTCTCCTCTTTTTCAGTAAACCAGTCAGACCTAATCTTGGGTAAGAGTCTCTGACCAGCAACCACTAAATCATGATCGTCCTTCAGCTTTAGCTGGACTGCAGAACAGACAGCAGTGGGAGGAAGACTTTAAGGGTCTAGAAGCAGAGCATGTACAAAGCATATCTGCAGTGTGAGGAGGACAGAGGATGGATGACTCTTGATGTTTCAGTGTTTAGAAACATGTATCCAACTGCATATATTAATTTATTTTTTTAATTTTATCACTTGGTCAAAATTTACCCCCAGATTTTAGGGATGGAGGATGAGATAAAGACTATAAGAGTCCAAGTATACCTGTGATGTATATTACTAATGTTATAAAGTGAACCTAAATCTAATTATATAATTTATTTACAGAAAATCTACCATGTACTACAGTCGTGTGTGTTTCTGGAGTTTTAGTTCTACTCCAGAATTCAGGAGGTTATTTTATCTCACACAGTCTCACTGAGCCATTATAAACTCTAATCCCAGCATAGAGTGGCTCAGTGAATGTGGTGGTGAGTGTGTGTAGGTGGGTCAGTGTGTGTGTGTCAGGGCAGACGCTGTAGAAGGACAGAGTGCCGGACTCCCAGTCCAGATACACTCCTACTCTGGTAGAAGGGTTTGGGGGGTAAGGTATGGCAGTTAACTGATTATTGTGCCTGAGAGTGTAACGGTTATTAGAGTGGATGAAAGCCCAGGACTGATTACTACTTCCAAACCAACAGTCACTACTGCCTTTATTCCTCCCAATTCCTCTGTAGGACACTGCTACAATACCCCCCCACCTCCAGCTCCACTCAGCCTCCCAGTAACAGCGTCCAGTCAGACTCTCCGCACTCAGAGCCTGCAGACAGTCCTCAAATCTGTCTGGATGATCTGGATACGACTGATCTTCTCCCACCCGCTCCACCGTTCTGTTCCTCTCAGACAGAGAGAGCTCACTGTGCACTGTGTTTGGATCCAGAGTGAGACGAACAGCATCTGTACACACACACACACACAGATACACACACACACACACACACAGACACACACACAGATACACACACAGATACACACACAGATACACACACAGATACACACACACACAGATACACACACACACACACACACACACACAGATACACACACAGATACACACACACACAGATACACACACACACAGATACACACACACACAGATACACACACAGATACACACACAGATACACACACAGATACACACACACACACACACACACACACACATTAATTAAAAGGATAAACAAACAGAATGTGTGTGCGTGAATGATGTATGTTTGTGTGTGTGACAGTGAATGAATGTGTATATATTTGAGTTTGTGTGTATAATGGATGTGTGTGTGTGTGTTTTTG